TACAACAAGGATTGATGTTTCGCATTCACGGATTGCTGATTTTTTAAATACATTTTTTGCGTCGCCGCCGGCCTTTGCGGTTTATACCGGTACTGTTAGGTATTATGGTAATATCAATTTTGCACTTTGCGCGGTAACCATAATGAACTCGTTGCTGACATTTACGAGGAAAAATCTCATAGACGTCTGTATTTATACGGGTCAATAAGAATTTGTTAATATTGATGGGAAATATTGCTATGTAGTTTTTTTCTATTTAAAAACATATCACCCAAGTTTTATGGAGGTAATAATAAAACATGGCGCACAAAAGATGAACAGTTCCATTTAGGTCACACAACCAAACGTCTTACATTCTTCATTTTAGGTGTAAAGAATTTTAGGTTGTTTAGCAGAAGATGCGCCAAGCATTGCTTAAAATGCGATAAAACAATGAAGATACCTTGATTAGATCTTGCGCGTACCAGTCATTTCGAAATCCATATTCTGGGTCGGTAGGTGACTTTCTGAAGTTCCATATGCCGTCTAACGTCCTCAGGTCCCTTGTCTCCGTGGTCTGTGGGTACAACGCTCCTCCCAAATACGTGGAGCGCTTCTTCTGCGTTTGGTTGATCTCGTTTGCACTCGCTGATTCCGGTACCGTGGCTTTCACCATAGACAAAAGCAGGCTCGAGACTAATACTAAATACATTGTCTTTTTAGGTGTCATCTGTAAGTAAAATATGCAAAATTAGATATCTTTTAACGATTTCACCAATTTCTATGATTTGCTAAGATTATTTAAAACGTCATTAAATTAGAATAAGACTCCATTAAAACTGTTAAATAGTTTTATTAAAATCTTCTGGTTACTGATTAAACCTATTTTTATTACTTATAAAAGAATCTGCAGGAAGTAAATGCATTCTATAGAAATATTGTATTAATTATATGCCGAAAATGTTGTATGAAAACCCTTCAGATTTTTTAATTTGTCGTTGTTGATTTATTTTTATTTTAAACACACATAAGTAATATTATCATTTGTTGATTTGTTGTTTTATGACCTAGGAGATGTCTTCTATTAAGACAAAGTAAAAAGAAAAGTGCCCAACTTCAAATCATAAGATACATTACTTATCATATA